TTTCATGCTTAATTTTATTGCGAGATAACCTTATATATACATATATATATATAAATAAAATGTAATGAAAACAAATATAACATTTATTAACAAATAATGTAGTTTTAAAACCATAGTTACTTTCATAAAACGTATATTGGAGTGATTAAAAAAAAAAAAAAATTTCCGCAACTGCTGCCCACCTGCGAGTTTGCGGCCCCTACGCCATTGCGTTATTGGCGTAGGCCAAAGTCCACCTCTGATGCCTTTTTTAGCTTAGAGGGGGCCCTGGGTAAATGACACGAAGTTAGAAGCTAAATATACAGGGCGTTTTGATTTTGAGCCCGGAAAACTATACCACGAGATAAAGCTCATCAAAAGCTCTCGAAAAGCTTTTTACAAAATTTGGATTCGATGGATAATTAAAGAGATATTGTTGATTTATTAATTGATTAATTCCTCCAATCACAGAGCACTTATCCTCAGGAGGCGGGTCCTAAGCATTGTGGAGGGACGACTACGCATAGCTAGACTCTTTTACGGAGAAGGTGGTAATAGGTATGCCAGGAGACAAGGTTACCGACTGCAGAGATTTGATCAGTTACCGTACCGGCGCAAAATTCAAATAGCAAGGCCGAATTATTTTAACCGGAGATCTGATTTTTGAAAAATGATTACGCACGTCCACTATGCTCATTCAGTGCATATTTTTTTCTCAGTAAATTTCACAAAGAAACAATTCAATTCAATCTTTTTTGAACATGCATCGCCTGATAAAAAAAACCAGAATGTGAGAGGGTCTCATGCGTTGAGCTTAAATACTCAGTCAAACTCTTGATCGTTTAACGTTGAACTACTTGGAGATAAAATTTTAATTTTTTGTATAATGTAGAAGAAGCTCATTTCACGCATTAACTTGGTTAAATTTTTTTGTTTCATCAAACTTTTTAGTCTGATTTACGAAAATAAAAAAAATAAACAAATAATTAATGAAATTACGATTAAGCAAGACATGTGCGTTTATGGGGCACACCTCTGTAACGTGTGAGATTTAACGAAAAAAGGATCAGTATTTAATCCATACGAAGCTTTATCGTCTGAGAAATAACAGCTACATCTAGAAACTAGAGAAAATCTAACGCTTTCAGCGCGATGGCTCAGCGCGATTCAGAATGCTTATTTTTCCATCCACGTGTCGATAGGTTTTGAACCTCTTGGTCCCTGGAGTACCACATGACTATTTGAAAAAAAGCAAGAAAATTCCGTGCATCGAGCTAGTTCATTTATCAAAAATCTTCTAAATCTAGAGCTTACATTATCTAATTTCAAAACATAACTATTCTTATGCCCTCCAACATCATACGCACTAAAAGTTCAAGTAGGCGGAAAAGACCAACATGGTGAGAGTAATTGACTAGCAGAAGCCGCAATTGTTTATTTTTGTTTCCTTTTTTTTTTTTTTTTTATCTATGAAAAAAAATTTACAAAATTTTGAAACTACTTTAAGTTTAAAAAAGTTTAAAAAAAGAAGAAGCCCATTTCACGCTATTAGTTGGTCAAATTTTATGCATTTTGTCGAACTTTATCGTCTAAAAAAGGATTAGTATTTAATCCATACAAAGCTCTATCGATAAAATATCTCTTTCTGCAAGTAAGTATCGGCATCTAAAAATCTAACTGTTTATTAGTAGATTCATCAATAAAATAATCTTACAAGCAATTAAGCATTGGCATTAAAAAATCAAATAGGTATTCAGTAGATTTATCAATAATATATCTCTTTAGGCAGATAAGCATCGACGATAAGAAAAAACCCAACAGATTTTAAATGATTTTTTAAATAAAATAATATCTTTGACGAGTAACCATCGGCGATTAGAATCCTACCAGTTCTTGAGTTCATTTATCAATAAAATAATGTCTAAGGCAAGTAAGCATCGGTAAATAGAAACTTAACAATTTATAAGTGGATTTGTTATTCAAATAATTTTTTAAGCAAATAAGCATTGGTGAATAGAATACCAACTATTTTTTACTGGATTTATTAAAAAAATAATCTCTTGGGCGAGTAAGCACGTGCGATTATTGGAACCCAATAGATTTTCAGTAGATTTGTCAGTTATATCTGCCTTCAGGCGAGTAAGCATCAGTGATGGAAACCCAACAGATTTTAGGTGATTTTATTAATTAAATAATCTCTTTGGCGAGTGAGCATCGGCGATCAAAATCCTAGTAGTTTTTAGTGGATTTATCAATAAAATAATCTTTTAAGCAATTAAGCATCAGGGATAAGAAATTTATTGGGTTTCCAGTGGATTTATTAACAATATCTGCCTTTGGGCGAGTAAGCGGTAGTGATACGGAGCCCAACATATTTTTTATGAATTTATTAGTAAAATAAGCTTTTACGCCAGTGAGCATCGGTAAAAAGAAATCATACAGTTGTTTAGTATATTTATTCATAAATCTTCAAAGAGATTCATTATGTAAATAAATTTCCCTAAAAACCAGTTAGGTTTCTAATCCCCAGAGCCTACTCACCTCAAAGATTATTTTTTAATTTAATTCCCAACTAAACAGTTGGGTTTCTAATCGCCGATGCTTACTTGGTTAAATAATTAATTTAATAATAAAACCAGTGAAAAACAGTTTATGTTCTAATCGGCGATGCTTACTCTTTTAAAAGATTATTTTATTAATAAATCCAGTGAAAAAAAGTT